GCCATACATAGCTGCTTTTACTAGATGGTAGTAAGTACTATTCCATTGGCATAAGAAGCTTTTGAGGGTATCTGCCACCCCATTCTGTTGCAGTGCGTTCCTTTTCTTCCCCTTTCTCACTGTTGAAACGATCAAACGAAAGCGGCAGCAGGTGAGGATAGATACAAGCCGTGACCTTGCCAACTCTCACAAGCCGACTCTTTACCATTCACAGCGTAGCAGTTGTTTGCTACTGTGTCTGATGTTGTCTAATGAACCTAACAGAATAATCTGCGTCCATTTATTGCCAGCAATGTTAGTTAAAGAAACTACCAGGACTTCTTCTCCGAGTAGGCAGAGATGGACGCGGGCGCCTACCCACCTGCCTGCCCATAGCAAGACGCATAAAACATAAAACATAAATGTCTATCAACGCCAATGGAATTGAGCGAAACGGATAATGTGATCATTATCCATATGTACGTCTCTATTCCGTCTCCCGTAGATAGTAATGCGCAAATTAATTGTGATGAGTTCCGTTCCTATGGAAACTATGATAATATAGCCGTCGACATGTTTGCTGATCATGAGTAAACTGATGAACAGGGACTGGCTATCTGATATATTAGTAGACTGCAAGAATAGAAATAGATCGAGTGCCCTCTCGGACGTGTAAAAACGTTGCCTGGGATTCAGCTTCTAACAACATGCGAAACGAAAAAAATGCCTGATCATCGGCAAAAACTACCTGCAGGGGGACGCCCTATTTTTATTAACAATGCTTCCCCCATTTTTAAGAAGGGTGATATACTTCCGAAGCCGCCAAAATTTTTTAGGTAGTCCAATTTTTTTTTTTTATAATCTGCTACCTTCGATAAGCGAAATTGGCCCATTGATTCCCATCACTTGAGCGCCCACGATCCTATTGAGTATTCCGACGCTATATTCTATTTAAAGATAATTTGGCATCTTTAAGGACGACGTTCACTTGACAGGGCCATCTCAAAGGCATCGACTGAACCTCGAACAGGATTATATGAAAGAGTAAGGTGTGTATTATAGACACTGCGTCATTCGGCTTCAACCGAGATTACTGCATCAGTCTTCCAACAGAACACTAGGAAACGTATATTTCCAGCTTCTAGTAAAGGTCTGAATAACTAGCCTTTGGACCACTCAGCCGCTTGCCAGACAAGAAATATAAAACATCTTGGTTTGCAAAGATCTGTAACATGCTTAACTGGAAAGCTTCAAAATCAGGAAATTTTTCGCTATCTAGCAAATTCATGCTCCAGATATCTTTTTTCTCTCGACCTTTACATCGATATTGCGGGCAGATCTCAAGAACAGACGCTTTTCTTGGATGCAAAATCATGGCGGCCACACTAACTCCTGAAGTCGATCTGAGCTTGATACTCAATAAGGCCGCTCCTGATTCGGGAAGCGGAAATCATCGGCTTTGATTTTGCAATGCAGATATTCGTCCATATTCCTTACTTACATACTTAAAAAGATGCAAAGGCACAAGTGTATTTCGAAAAAAAAAAAAAAGAAGAAAGAATTAACCCATGTTCTATGTCTGGGTGGACAGTTTCCAATTAGCGATACTTTGTTTTTGGTAGGTATCGATTTAGGTAAAAAGTTCTCAACGAGTAATTTCGATTAAAATTCAGTATTAAATGGGTTTAGTGATTCTTAGCAGTATATTTTAATAATAGCTAATTTATAACATGTACTTAAAACGATTAAAAATAAAAATTAGATTATTGGAACAGTAAATGGCATCTATGTAACAGGGGTTACATGGATCACACATACGATAGCATTCTCCCAACTCTTGATCGAACCCGAGCTGATTACAGATTTCCTATGGGAGTGATTAGCGGTATCTCATTAGCAACACGTTTTAACTTGAGTATGGAAGAGGCGAAGGAAACTAGAAGCTTCGCGCATGCCGCTATAGAAGTTAATTTGGGCACGCTCACGACAAGGAGCCTGCTACAAGGTCGCCATTTTCGTAATAACAATCATGATGGGACAGATCTTCTAAAAATAGACCGACTAACATGAGGCAGACTTTCGACGCATCGCGTTCACTCTTTAATACAACTATTTTTGTCAAAACATATTCTGTGTGTAGTCCTTAGTCTAGGATTATGTTTGTGCCTTAAGCAAAGTTTGCTCCGAGACAGGCCGTGAAACCCGAGGCTTGGTTATTGGGACTAACGATAGCTAAACAACACACAGCAAAATTTGAATCATATGTCTAATTACAAGAAATAACAATACCGTAGTTTGTTACGCGCCACGAATGCTAATGCCGGTTGATGACCCTTTACGGATTACGCTGTATGTCCATTGCGACTGCGAGATTTTGCATGAGAAAAATTGTAAATTAAAGGAAAAGTGCATAGCTTGATAAATACGAGAAACGGTAAGAGCTGTATACACTGGTTGATAACAGTCTTTGAAACGAAAGATATTTGTTTACGTTACGTACGTCTTATCTACTATTACGGGATAAAATTCGCACGGAAAATGCGGGGTGTAACAGCAGACGAAAAATTTTTAGTCGTTTGGAGACAAAGCTTTTACATGTAATTAAACGCTGGAAAGTGTATTGGAAACATCTAATATGATTCATCTTAGTTAGGTTGAATTTCTATAGATTCAGGGTTTATACGGGAGGTTTTTACACAGGGATATGCTATATTCAGCACATCCCTGGTTAATGATTATCTGCCTGCCAGGTATGCAGACAAGGAATCCACATAGTGAACAGATCGAATTGTTTTGCAATCTTACTTAGAGATTAATATTTAATTAGACTTTAAATCCATTGCTGAAATAACAGCTTTAGTTGAAATAACAGCGAAACGTTTTCTTCCTATAGGGGCATTTGGAGATCCGACAATAACTTCGAAATTTGGATTAGCGGCAAAGGGCTATTGACTTCAATTGAGATTATACTCTTCAAACTGAGCTTCATCGAAATAATGGGCAGTGTGTTACTTTATTTCTTCATAATAATTTTCTGCGGCTAGCCTGCGCGGGCTAAGATTCAGGAGTTTTAATTTTTTTTCTAGTGCGTATCGATCATAATACCTAGTCTGCATATCGGTATATCCCGCACCTCTACAACTCCCGTGACTTTCCGACCCCCCACGGTGATTTTAGTCATGAGTGAGAACACGATTCTGAGAAGTAACACTGTCAACTGGCTCCTCATGGTAAGCGTAAGGTATTAAGTGATTTCCGCGGAGAAGAAAGTGTACTGTTTTCGGTTGGGATTGTATCTAGATTCTATGATTCGATTCAAGCTATGAAGTAACAAAACAAATTGAAGAGGCGTTGTACCTCGAACGGTGCTCGATGTTCGCTCACTGAACAGCAACTTGGAACTTCTAAAGCAGTTCAAGACAAATTTCAACTTATACTACTAGTATACTTATAGCACAACTGCCTACTTACTGCTCAGTTGTAACTTCTATGTGTTACAAATATAAGTTGTATCGATTGGCGGAGTAGGGATGCCAAACCAAGACACAAGTCGTATGGGTAGACTCCATTTCACATGCTACGGTCGCAATTCCACTCGTGCTTTTACCATCCACTTTGTGATTTTTCTAATTATCATAGCTAAAAGAGACATGCAAATCTACCAGTTCCCTGACCCAACTTTATATGATGGCCGTCTTCGTATTCGCATGAATTGCGTGTTGTCCGGAGATAGGATTTCCTAATCGTAATATTAGCCTGAGTTCAATATCCGTCAAATAAATAATAGTAGTTTTTTCTCTTATACACATAAACGCATACAAACAATTAACTTTATTCATTCTAAGTTCATAAGTTTTGACAATTTACACAAATGTGCGCTTCCGTTGTGCTGTCCGATATTGATCTCATTGGAACTTCAGAAGACATTGCTCCAAGCAAAATGTTTGAGTGTAATGCCTTCGTTTTGGCACCGTTATTTTTGTAACAGCTGCGTGGTTATCTCAGAACTGGCCGTTAGTTAGACGAATCGGCAAGGGGGTTGTGGACGTACGCTTGCAGATAATCTAATTCCACCCACTCACACCCCCCATCCCCGGGAAATTTATTAGCTGGCGCTCAATGGGCAGCAGCAGCATCTGAAGGCATTTGATCAAAGGGATACGCCAACGATATTTCTTTTCGTAGAATCATCTGTTTCTGACACATTTGCGTCTATGTCACTGTATTTATATGATCAATATAAATGATTAGAATGCCAAATGTCTTCAGAGAATTGTTCAGGCTCGAATGTTATACTTGTGGTCTTATGTAACAAATAGCAGTCCCTTCGTTCTTCAAGCGCTGAATTTTTCAAGCATCAATATCTACTTAAAAGCTTGATTCCTAGTCCCTTAACAAGGACCAGTTAAAGAGGCTGCAAACTACGTTACAAACATATTTCATCATGTTCGATTTAAAAAGTTGATAGCAACTCTTGCATCCTTTTGGATCTGTTTGATCGTTTCATATATAGGCTTATTTTCCCTGGAAGCATTTTATCGACAGTCGTCATCAACGCCTGTTGCGTTTTACCACTTTCTTTGAGGCTTCGTATAATTTTTGTTACTCTGTCTTTTACAAAGTAAACCGTATCTTCTTTTCGCTCATATATTGTATAGCTGCTTTTTTTTGTTCAGGGTGCTTTACGCGCATCAGATTTAGTACATCGTACCTAGTCCCAGTAACTTATTAACCGAAACTACTACGCACTAGTAGAAGTGTGCAAGAACTATTGCAAGATCCTATTTGACAGCACACTAATGTCTAACTCACAAACGTAGTATATAGCCCTGATTGTATACAATTACTAAGCACGACACTGCTGATCTAATGAATTTAGTATTCTATTTTGCTCAAATTAATCTGCTAATCAGGTACTACGCAGTCTACATAAACCAATTTATTAGTATCAAAGCATTAGTACTCAAATGTTTTCCATGGCGTGGCTAGTTAGCTGACTCCAGCGCATTTTGACGTTTCAGATCGTGAAGACCGGTGATGGCGAGATCGGCTCTGCGGGCGGGACTGGGTCAGCCGCTGGTGAGGGCAGTACTATCGGGGTGACTCGAGGTGGGGCGCTATCGAAACTCAAACAGAGTGTCGCATCGGGGATTCAGGGTTTTTCTCAGCCTGCCAAGACACCCCCCACTACCCCTACAAAGTTGTTCAATAGGGAACTCACCGGACACCTCACCGAGGAGGAGCGATGCATCCTCGAAAAGGTCTTCGAAAAGGAGCAGCAATTCGAGATGATGCAAAAGTGAGTAAATTTATGCAGCTGTGGATTACACAAGCTTTATCTCTAATTAACCAATATGATTGTGAAGATGTCGAAGTAAATAACTACTGCGTATAAACTGCTGTGGCTTCCAAGGTACGTTGCCTAGTCCCCTAGCCAACTTAATAGGCTAGTTCGATTACAGCGCGTAACCTCACTCAATGAAACAGTAAAGCACCAATATGGTCGGGCGTTGAATTTATTAAAATTAATAATAAATCTCGGCTCCGCTGGACGAACCAAAGTTATTTCGAGGAAAGAACTAAGTTAACCTTTGTTGCCGACAGTGACCAGCAACTGACGGAGCGAGCTCAAGAGGTAACACCTAATAGTGAACTTTTTTTGTACGCCTATTGTCTTAACTTATTGTCAACTCGCCAGCACTATCTTCATTAGCCAACTTTGTACCCTTTGAAAGATACGTCGACAAATTTAAACTCGAAGTAAGCATACGAGACCCGAAGCAATGAAACTTTGTCGCTGGAATACGCTTCCGGTAACATGCCGACTTAGGCTGCCGTTAGGGCTATCCAATATCGTCGCGATTCCTCTGATTGTCTGGGAACAACTACTGAAATAAATCGACCACCAGCTGAAGAGCGCATTAGCAGAAGAACGCTAAAGGCACCAGCGACCATAGTAACTGATAACGGTCTTCCGTCAGAGTTGGCGCTGGTCCACTTTTCACCTAAAAGTTCAGCAGTATAATTTATATCGCCGTCTCTTAATATACGGATATTTTACGGCAAGATATAGAGATACCAATATTTTGAGGTCCATTGTGTTAAATCAGCCGACCTCGAATGTATTCTTTGCCTCGAAATTTCCATTAAGGGTTAACTTGTCGATTTATTTTGTCAAACCTACTTATTTGTTGAAGGACTGAAGCAACAATTCCCATCAGAATAAAGAGAAGCGTACCCACGCTCTTCTGGAAAGTAAGAACCGAAATTTGGTGACATAGACCATTTGCGTTTCGAGTTTTATGTCAGGTACTGCTGTTCGGCGCTATTTATTTGCCGTTAGAAAAGCTGCCTGGCTATGTGGTTTAGTTTCATCATTCTATAAACACCTGTCACTTACCGAATTAGCGAAGTTACTTCAATCATAGCCAATGCAGAAGTTTAAGATGATTTTTGTCTAGGTCAATAGATCATTATGGGGCTCTCTAATGTGTAACGAATATGTTTATAGTAGTGGTTTAGTAGTGTAACCCATCAAACAATGAGCCGATTTTCTTTTGAGTAACTTGGACTTGCTTGTTGAGGACGAAGCTCTCCAGCCACGTAAAAGACTTGAGGAGATTTTTTTGTAATCTAGGGAAGTATATTCCATGAGAATGAACCGCTTGGCTCACCACGTAATGCTCAGTTCGACCTGAGCAGAAACTGTAGCGTCGGAACAGGATGATAGGAGCTGATCGATTAATACTGCACGGAGACGGTGGTGAATTGGTGGAAGGATAAGCAGCATATGAATAGGCCTTGTAAAGCGAACGAAAAAGCCCTACAGAAGTTCAATAAAAAAAAATGCAGCGTGCTGAGCACCAATCCCTCCACATAGATCTAATCAGAACGTGTATTACTGGGGCATTTTTTTCCATCACGCCGTTGAAAAACACTGCAATATTAATCACGTAGATCTTGAAAACACAGAATGAAACATTAAGTAACTTTGAAAAATTTTACCATATTGCTGTCGGTTCCGGGGTCGAAGGAGACATCCAACACGCATGAATGGAATCCATGCAACGTTGAAAAAATCGAACTTATAGTATACAGTTTAATAATCTACAGACGTGCAGATATATCAACACTTCGCTAACGACCTACTATGCCATACAGGAATTTGCGTTCCCTGCTACTCGGTAGCATGTTGCTAATGGGAAAAGTCGTTGTCTCATTTGTTCGTTTGAACTGACCTGGAGATCAGCATACGGGCAAGCTGACAAAGGCCTCGTAGTAGTTTATAAAGGTTGGGGTGCAAATAGCATAACGGGAACTTCGTTCCTTTCTAAAACTACCCATCGTCCCTCCATGGCATAAAGATTGATTCCGGGTGAATCTTTTATCGTGTGACTGTTTCTCCTCTCCGAATGAACTACGGAGCAGGAACATTAAGAGTCTTCAAAGGGTTGTCTTCTGTGTTGCTCGGCGTAAACTAAATTGCAGGTACAGGCGTTGGTTTCAGTAACGATGTAGGTGTACCGCGTTTGCCAACTAAACATAGCGACATTTAAGGTAGTTTAAATTCGGAACCAGGGAGAGACGCATTCCGTTTTGTGCTAATGGGATCCAGCTTCTGAAGCAATGCCTACTAGACGACCGGAATGTTAGATAGTAGATATGATTATTAAATATGACAGACGATAAATACAATGATCAGTTTGTTCTGCGTTAAGGAAAATGCTTTGTCGAACATATAATAAAGTTATTATCGTTTGCGCATCTAAGATACCTGTGCTCGCACTGAGCGTGAATAACTTTAGATCACAGCAGCAAAAGACGTTGTATTTAATATGCAAATTTTTATTCATCTACTGAATAAAATAGCTAATTAACTGATTACAGTTACCCAGGAAATTTAAGTTCAGTCTATCTTTTATGTATTTGGAGGGCTTTCCTAATGATTGTGCAGCCATTTTTCTAGACGATTTACCTAAAATGGCCGCTGTTTCACCCCAACAAAGAAACACTGGCTGCGTTAATACTGACTCTGACTAATCTAGCGCACCTGCTTATTTTCGAACTAGCTTGACTTTGTTTACAGGGTATCATACCACGAACATTTGTATGAACGGAGTAATTAACGTCAAACGTTGTAAGGAATAGCTTAGCGAATAACTTTTGATGTCAAAAATTAGTAGAAAGTTCGAGACAAAGCATTTTGGAGCGACTCCTCCCAACTTAGCTGGTTTAAAAAAATAACATACGAATAAAACAGGCGCACGATGAAGCTCTCTGCTGTAAACTTCGTTTTTTTGTTTAATCTGCATAGGAAATGTAATAAACCGGTTCGTAGGTTCAAGGACGTTTAAGGAGCGGTAACGCCGTTGTCCTGAACTACTCTATACATGTAGCCTTATACTTTTTTTTGCGCCCTGCTCATAGGTGAGTTACATTGCCTTATTGATACGCTGGTGATGGTAAGATGGCGGTAAGCAATCTAATTTTTCAAATTTCAGACAGGGGGCGTCCGGGGGAGCATCCACGCAACTAGCTGCGTCTGACGGAACTAGTAGTCAGACAGAAAGTGGAGACGCTAATAATGACAAGAAATTACCGGCCGGCAAAGGCAAAGCTAGCTTCGGAGAGTGTCGCATCTGTCGTAAAATGTTTTCCAAGGACGAGCCTAGGAAGGTTTGTGATGAATGCAAAAGTCCAATTTGTGAGGACTGCGCGTCATATACTTCTGACAATGTCACGGTAAGTTGAGAACCAAGACGGAACGATTGCAAGACTTTGTATCTAATCTTTTCTTTTTATATAGTACATAAAATCTCTCTTCGAATGCTTCGAACAGAATAAACCATCCAGGATAGTGGTACATTTGGACCTTGATCCAGATAAACATCCTTTTTTTTATTTATCTATTATCAAATACCAAAATTTTGATCATCATCTTACTGTTCGTCAGCTGTTATCAAGTGGGGTAAGCAGAAAAGAAGCTGTTGTTGGGGAAATCTCACCGATATGACTCATGTGTACTTTGTGTAAATGAGATTAGGAGTTTTTTTTCTAGGTCCGCAAAGCTCAGTGGTGTTTACACTTAAAAAAGAGGTTAATATATATATATATATATATATATATATAGCCGAATAATGGTAAAGGGCTTGGTTCTTACAACTAGCTATACCATAAGTCTCGGATCACGTTCGTCTGGTTTCATTTAGTCGTCGCTGCTTTTTGCAATTTACGATCTCTCGGACGGCGTTATTTTCGACAAGTTCTGTTGTCGCATCTAGTTGCTCACTGCCGAGCCTCTTCCTTTGACTTTTTTTTTATCCAGCATCGCTGTGGCGCCAGCAACTTAAGCCAGTGAAAGACACACAGAATTGATCGCTTTGTTAGCATCGAGCTCTAGTAATAACACAGACATACCTCCCTTGTTTCGACTTTTACGTCCGTTATCGCCATTACGCATTTTATTAAACGGCTGGCTCCCAGCATGAAACAAAGTGCATCTATGCCCGAGTGCGGCCCTCCTCGTTTGTGGCTCCGAGTAAAACCACAAACATATTTATTTGTTGTGTATTGTACAAGCTGTCTTCAAGTGAAAACAGATGTTTAAATTAGATTTTTTTGCATAGGCCGATATATGCTGCTATCCCATAGCGGCTTTCATTCGGAGCCTATGTAGCTCATAGGCCCATCACTTCTATTCATACTTTTAGACGCTTACTTAATGGCAACAGGAAGACAGTTAAGGTTACCATGTATAAACTTATTAGACTACTCCTCACTATGCCTTACATAGTAATCCGAAGGAATCAAACTGGAGTTGTGAAAGGGCCACAACTTCTACTTCGAAACATGCATTTATAGCCACCTGACCCTACACTAATTTAGTTCGTATGAGCTCGTGTGACATTTTTCTGAAAAATGTATGGCCTACCATTCGAAATAGTAACCATCCATAAGTTTACCACTTATTCAAACATCCAATTAAGTGTCTTTGATAACCGTGTTTGGGCTTAATGTCTTTAGAAGGCTTGTGCGTGATAACGTCAATTGCTTTGCATAGGACGTGTGCCTAAAGTCAATTGTTCTGCTGTAAAAGAGCCTCCTGTGTCTTTTCAGCAGATTGCGAACACAGTTGCATCATTGTAAATGGTCGATTTCCAGTGACATCACACATTGGCTGATCTTCGGTCATATTAAACATTTTCTTATTTCTACTAAGAAAGTCCTTTTTTGGATATTCTGGTGCCACTGGTAGAGGATAAACGCCTTCCTTTTATCATACCACACCATATATATCCTGAGAACATACAGCGAAATATCTTGCTCGGCCATAAACTGCCTAATGAAGGAAGGTCTTTATTAAGGACGTTTACCGTTAACAATGAACCCATTTGCGCATTTTCTCGTGAAATCTGTCTATTTGTGCCTTTAACTGATTCTACTTATACTTTCCGATGCCTTCTGCTGAATCGAACTCGGTTATAATCATATTAACCACCTGCATAGATCTGGCGCTGTAGTTTGTGTCGACGAAGATGCACGAGTATCGGATTAGGTATGGATACCGCTTCTGGAGCAGCAGGGATCCATAGGGTACCTTCCGTCAGACGCATGGTATGTATCATCAGCAGACTAATACGGTATCCGCATTGTATTTTTGCCTATATACTTCTACTAATTTTTACTTAGGTAGTTACTCTAAGTAATGATAAGGCAAAACAACGAACGATGTAATTGGATGATGACGGATAGGGAAAAGACGTTTTTACATAGAAACTAATCAGTAGCCTTTTCAGTTTCACATTCCCTCTTCGGTCACACCCTTCACTTAATTTGATATATTTCTATTGTTGTTATTGGGCGTGTTTGGCACCATTCAATAACCCAGGAACAGGGTAGTGCTTGTCAACGAAGCCAACTCACTGACTTAGTGAGTCACACCGCAGGCGGAGGCACCCGCGCCTCCTTTATGTTACCCGACTCGTATAGGGAGGCACTCATCATGGAGATCGAACAGCAACGCCAGCGTGAAGAGCAAAGTCGGCAAAATGAGGACGGTAGCGCTGGTGCAACCAATCCAAATAGCCTTAGCACTTTAGCCATAGGAAAACCCATTAAGAGGGGCTCGTATGCAGGAACGACCGAGTTTCAGAAAAATACTCAAAGCGATCAAGCCCGACCTGGAGGCGAGAGTTTGGGGTAAGTATCCACCCAGTACTTGCCATCGCGATCTACCATGATAAAAGTAAATTGCTTATATTCTGAACTTCGATAGAGTTTCTACTTGTTTTACTTACAGTAACTTCTATTCACATGCAATATAACAAAGTCGCCGTCCAGAAGTACTGCAAAGGTAAATTTAAAACAACTGGTCACACATAGAATAAGTACAACCGCCAAGCAAAAATTGCTTTCATTATCTAAAAGTTATATGTTTTTTTTCTCAATTTCTATTACAATACGTGTGTGTTCTTGCGCTGCAAGCTGACCTCAGACCGGTTTACGTCATTTAAAGGCCTCGATTTTCCATATTAGGTGGATCATAACGCTTTATATATATAAAGCATTGATCACATAGGCCGGAAGAGTAATCGGAAAATTATGGCTATATACAAAAAGGTTGTTCAGGACGGAATAGAGGCAGTGGAACCAAGGTTGGTGCGACACGTATTTACTGGCAAATGCGATAAAAGGAGCTGACGAAGCGCTTATGTGCTTTACTTTTAAAATTATACCTGGTGAGTGCAGCTAAACTATTTTTTTTGAAAAGCCATATCACCCCACTCGAGCAACTATCCGTACCGATGACAGTCATATGCCGAAAGCTCGTATCATATGTAAGACTTTTGTTTTACTTTTTCCAAGCCCTACTATCGTATTAAAGTACACAAAAATACAATACTGTCAACCTATATCCAAAAAAATGTTAGATATATAGATTTTTTTTCCCTTTTAAAGCTCTCTATTGTATGGCTGTTTCATAAAGGGTTCAAGTAACAGTGGTCGAGCTAAGAATTAGCATATCTGTTGGGGCACAAAATTTCATTTACATGAATACGAGTTAGAAGTGGCCCGTATTATAAGGAGCTAAAGAGAATACATTTATCTGGAAGCGTTTAGCTGCCTCGTCCATAATTACATGTCCGCCCCCGTCATCAGACAACGGCTCAACAAACTACTCACTCTACTATCATAATATAGGCTTGACGCATTTAGATTAAGGTACGGCATTAGGGTCGACTCTTATCTCGACAGAAGCGAACGCCCGGAACTTGTTTGTTGGAAATTCAAGAAGATAAACTTGGATAAATGCGGAGCTAAACCTCTCTCAGACAATCTGGGCAGACGAACATGGAAAAAAAAGTCACTCCAAGAACATCACTACCCAATCCAGCTACTGTTCGCAGTCGGGCATATTTTTGTTATGGATGTGCGGGTTATTAACAGATGCATTAGTTATATTGCTGCTGATGCTCGTTACCTTGGGGATGGGTTTTTACGAGTGCAATCCATATTTGCTCTTCACCTACTGTTTCTCAATTCATTGTCTCAGAATAAGTCTAGCTTCATCTAATTCAGCCCAGTTTCTTTTCTAAGCTTCACCGCAATTGTTAACAACGTTGATATACTATGAAGCTTGAGCGGTAAGCAGAATTCGGGTCTATACCGCAGCTCTAACCGGCAAGATACATGTTTAGATGTCGTATTAAAGGTTTTTGCCCATATTAGATATGACTGAACGCAATTGTTTCCGTCTCTGCTGTTGATGTGGCTGTTAGCGTATCTCGTTGTTCTACGTACTTGCTAGCAACGACCCAATAATCTGAATTGTCTCGACCATTTTCTGGGCCATGCCCATTGGACCCTCGTTTGCGGCTATTTCGAATAGCGGCGATTCCAATGCCCATTCTTCCTACTGCACACGCGACCAGCCAATGGCAATATGACGATCGGAAATTAGCAACAAGATGGAACATGTAGAAGACTAAACCGGACTCGGATCAGCGGCGATTAATATAAACCTCAAGCTAGTTCTCTGTCGTACGCCGGTGTGCGTTGTCGCCCGATGTCACGATCTTGAAAAGTACGCATGGAAGATTAACGATCGTTTGCCTGTGTAGCTGAAAACTTGCCGCGAGGTTACTTTATGAACAAGACAATAAAAATGTTTAGAGATAGCTGTTTGGCTTCGTTTTGCCCGTTTTTACAGTCTGCCGCCATGTTCCAGAGGCACTCGTTGCTCCCGAGGGGGAAAAAATAATGCTTTGTGTGCCCGCAACACAGCGGCCTGTGTTATCTTCCTTTCAACGCCTTTTAAAGGGGCGGCTATTGGGCCCGGCGAATTTCCTCGACTAGGACAAGGCAAAGAAGAATCAGGCGGTGCTATTGTTCTTTCCCTAGTCTTGTAAGATAAAGATTAGTTTTGGTGGAATGTCACGCTGATAGTAAATTACAGGAAGTTCTCCGCTAAATGGGCAGCCTGATACAAGCTTGACATCTAGCGTACTGATAATAGCAAATGCGGTGTTTGTCCAAGTTCTGTACTTTCTACCGATTTATTTATTGTGGGGTAAAGTATCTATAGTGCGAAATTTTGCTTCTGTAGCTGCCAAAATAACGTAATCTCTCTCTAGCACAGCTATTGTTATCTACGCAGTGTATGCAAACAGAGCCTGTCGTCGTATATCGTCTCATATATGTATATATTATTTATAATGCTGTTTCAATATTATTTTTCGTTCGTTCTACAACCTTCCCATGTAGTTAGACAGGCACAATGCCATTCGACGGTATCATTATTCTGCACGGTCAATCTCTCAGCGTTGTAAGTCGTATAAAGACAAAAAAATAAATCTATTTACTTCCTGAAACATCAGGCTGGCTAGTTTGCAAGACATCTCTGTGGACACGAAGACATTAGCATTGCGATTGATTTTTTATAAAGCTTTACTATAGCGATGGATAGGATCAGTCACGGAAGATTGGTCGCGAATACGCTGAAAGGTAAGTGTAAAATATACCACCGTGCGCTTTTAACCAATAGGTTAATTTTAAGGCGATGATATCATTTTCTCTAGTAGTAATCTTTAGAGAGCACTAAGCAAGCTAGCTGCCTCATTTGGCGTACTCACCGTGTAAGCGTGCCTTATAGAACGTTTTCGACGAGAGAGAACGCCTTTTTTGATATTGACATCAGTCGGACATGACATATTACGATCTCTTATATAAGCAAACGCCGCGTTAATTCGGTCGCGAAAAATCAGTGAAACAAACGTGCGTACAATCGTATAGGCTAATTCAAGAATAGCAAACTATAAGAAGGGTCGTTATAACTTTAGCGTCAAAGAGAGCGTTTTCTAAAAGCCATCCATTCACCGATATGGAGGTCACTGTAGCCAGACGGACGTTTCGCTCACGTTACTTACCAGTGTATATTCTTATCACTTAGATGGACCGTTTAAGAACGCCGCAGGTTATCGTATCCTCAGTACAGAACAAAATAAAGTAAATGCCAACCGGTTATAAAAGGCCCGGGTTTTTTAAAAATATATCTGATTGAAGCTGAATAATAATAAAGGATTTAAAACAGCACATGTAGCTGCTCATACAAAAACAACCATTCTGTTCTAATATATGATTTGCCATTGTGGAACGAAAGCTCATACTCCCTACGGTTGCGTGTTGAAGCGCGTGTTATCGTCGTGTATGACGATGAACGAAGCGAAGTGAATGAACAGATACGCTTAGATATGAAACGGGTACCCAGCCAGTGAAAATACTCGTACAAAGGCTATTGCGGCGTACGCGGCAGTTAATAAGCTTCGTTGGTTAGAGAACAAGGCGCAATGCCGGCCAAAAATTTTTTAGACGGTTTTCTACTCGTTTACTAAAAAGTTAGGCATGTTAGTGCTACGAAGGCGTCCAATCTTTGATTCTACGACTTCTTATGTTCTTTTATATATATATATATATATATATATATATATATATACGACTTCGAGAATTATAGTTTTTTTTTGTCTACTCGAGATGATTAGAGCGTTCAGAAACGTGCGCTTTTATTTACGACCACAAAGTAAATGCGCACGTATAGAAACTGGATATAAATGTTTCGCATACTAAATTTCCCTGTTTCCTTAGCTACTCTATGACATATGCCATAATATTTTGTTATTATTATTTCTAAAAAAATATCATCTTAGGACGGTGGAGAAATGTCGTTTAGGACCCATCTAGCTCAATCCAAATACTCCGTTTATTGATAAGCGTTCGGATCGTGCCAGCATAAGAACATATACACATATATATGTATATATTCTTATGCTTCTTATAACGCCTAAAGTGGGACAAATTCTGGTTCATTATGTGTGAGAGCGGGCATGCGTTCATTCTTCCGCGTACTTCCGGTAGCAGACAAATGCTAGTTCGTCTGTGCAACGTTTTGAACCCCTGTATTTTTTGGGAATTTTTGGCCTGCTACCAGTTCAAAATTTTATTACATTCGGTATTTTGTATGCAGCGCATTTGAGCAACACTTTAACGAGTTGACGTCTACTAATATCGTCTGACGCACGGTCGCTAGTAGAAATTATTTGCGGATCGAAGGGGTACTTTGGAAACAAGATAATGATTAGTCAGCAGTTGATGCCCATACTAATTCTATTAAACATGTACAGCCATCAGGAATTAGGCTCCCAGTACATGCTAAAATCTCTTTTACTTTTACACTTTCAAAAGCAGTATCACGTCCCAGCTCAAGCCCTTTAATATATGGGGTTGCCTAGCCTGCCACATAGCACATATATCACTGATAGGGGTTTCGCAAGCACAACGAGAGGCGGCGATTATTCTTAGCGTACGATCACTCATACGATTGTTACGTGCAAGAAGTATTGTCTTCTTCTTTACCGGGTATCGAGGAAAGCAGTGAATCAGACAAAGCCTCCACATGACGTTAGTTAATATTATTATTTACTGTTTACATTACTCGACATTTGGTGATTACAAGAAAGAGCATGTGATACATGATAAGGCCGCATTTATGTAAGCCTATGGATAGAAATAGAAAATTTCTGCGAAAAGTGCTTTAGGCTTGAGGTATAAGGCTTACTTATTGTGACTTAGAAGATATCATTTGCCTGTTTTCATACTTCCATTTCATTGCAACTAACATGTGCGAGTCGATATGTACCCAACTG